TTTCGTGTCATAGTTTGAATCTGTTTTCCTTGAATTTGACTGATTTTGGGTGTTAATTTTCGTTTTTGCTGATTTCTAGGTGACCTTCAGTCATGACGCGCCCGCGTGGTGACGTGCAGGAAGCTCACGATCAGGAATTTCTGAAACTTCTGGGAGCTCTCTTGCCTCATGACTGCCCGCGTGACGTGCAGGAAGCTCACGATCAGAATTTCTGAAACTTCTGGGAGCTCTCGTGCTCTCTTGACGTGCCCGCGTCACGTTCGGGAAAGGTAAGGATTAAAAAAAAAAAAAAAAAAAAAAAGAGAAATTTTTTCAACCGTAGCTAGGTTTCTCAATTATCAAAAAAAAAAAAAATTTCTCAATTATCAAGAAAAAACAAAAACAAAAACAAACAAAAAAAAAAGTTTTTTTTCCTTCTTTTCTTTTCTTTCTTTCCTTTCTTTTTCTTTCTTTCTCTTTTCTTTCTTTCTTCTCCTCTGTTCGCTCTGTCCGCCGCTCGTGCCCACCGCCATCTCAAACTCCACCGCGCGCCACCCCCTTCCTCAACTCAATCGCGCGCCCCGCCGCCGCTCTCCGCTGCTCTCCACCAGATCGCGCGCAGCCCGCGACCCCGGCGCGCCACTAAGCCGCGGCCCAGCCTCTGCGCCGCCGCTGCTAAAGCCCCACGCGACTCCCTCCGCAAGTGGCGACGAGCCCACAGGGACGTGCAGCAGCCTCTATCCAGCAGCCATGCTCTGCGCACGGACGCAGCCATCCACCACCAACTTCAACGCCGCTTCTCTGTCTGCCACCTGGGGTAGTCCCAGTGGAGGTATTCGACACTTGCCCCCCAATTTCTCAGTGTTAGTCGGTGATATTTGGTAGTAGCTTATGCATATTTGGGTGATTTCCACCAGTGGTACTGGTTAGATTATTCTAGCTTGGAATTGCTAATTCTTTTGGGGTGTATATTTGGGTGATTTCCACCAGTGGTACTGGTTAGATTATTCTAGCTTGGAATTGCTAATTCTTTTGGGGTGGGTGAAGTTGTGCATTTAATTGGCCATCTGGAGCCACTTGTTGCAATTTTGAGGTGATTGGATGATTCCTGTAGTTGAATTGGGTGGAATTTGTGGCATTTGTGTTGCCTGTTGAAATTGGACGAATTTACTTCAATTGTTGGGAGTGGTCTGTCCATTGTTTCCAATGCTGCTTCACGAGATATTCTATTATAAATCTGGGGTCCCGCTGATTGCTTTGTCCATTATACTTTTAGCCCTATGTTGACTTTCTTTGGAGATTCGGAATTATTCACTGGTTACTGGATAAATATTGGGGCTTATTGCTTGAATTGTTAGGACTGTAGTAGCGCAAATTTCTGGGTTGTTTGTTGAATCGGAAGGGCATTGTGACCCCTGTATCGCTTCTTGAAGTTGGTTAACTAATTTTGGTTTACTGGGTGTGTTTAGTCTCTTGATTTCACTTGCCTTCCGTAGTCGTTGCAAATGAGTTCATTTGCTGCCTTTGTTGGAGTATCTGTTGCGAGTGTGGCATTGTATAGCTTCTACTGTTAGCTGATCCATTGGGGGCCATAGGTAGCATTTACTCTGCTCTGTTATATCTATTTCATTGATTTTGGACTACGTTTTGCACCAGTGGTACTGGTTGGGGTATTTTGATTAGCATTTGTTATTTCCAATTGGTTGGCTGCCTGATTAAAAAGGAAAAACTTGTGATTGTGTGGTTATTGTCTACTTTCTATACTACTATTGCTGGAATTGCCGCTTCTGAGTTGAAAATTAACTATCCACTTGGAGACTTTGTTGAGATTTTGGGTGGACAGAGTTGTGCATTTGCTGGTTGAATTGAGTTATGATGTCTCAGAACTGGGGCATGTACTTCACCACATTGGTTTCCCTCCGCAGCTGCCAAATACCCTTAGCCACTCGAGAGGGAAGTTTCTTTGTCCTCTTCACTTTAATTGTTTTATTCCCTCCATTGAGGACAATGTAGGATCTAGGTGTGGGGGGGACAGCTATGCTAGTTTCTTTGCTAGTTTCTTTTTCTAGTTCTTAGTTTTCAGATATTTTTCTTTTATTTTTAGTCTGTTATTTGTCTAGTTTTCGTTTACATTTTGTCATTTATCTGTCTAGCTCTCCTATGACTGCCAAATTTGATGTTGGATTGTTGCCCCTATTTCTACTTTTGCCAAGTTTTAATAATAAAAATGTGTCGAGTTAATGTGGTTGAATCCAAGAGCATTCCTTTGGTGAATATCAGTGATTATGTGGCTCTTATAATTTTTGGTTAACTTTCCTAGACATAGGGAATGATTATTGGCATTTTCATGTGAATTGGTCCGGTTATTAACTTTAGTTCTCCATGTTTGAACATGAGGCTAGCTGATGCAAGTTTTCTTTTGGTTCTTGTGTTATATTGAGTTTTTTTTTATTTTTAGCTATGAATAAACTTGACTGTACTCCGCTATTAGTTACTACTGAGTAACCGGGGATCTGCACCTAAAAGTGTTGATTCTCGCGTCAAAAGGTAGTAATTCCTATGAGTACGTGGTCACGTGGCGATAGAAGCTGAGTAACCGGGCTCTTTCATCTGGCCAATGTTGGAGTTCGCGTCAAAAGGCTTAAATGGCTAGCGACTAAGTCTTTTGTTACTATTGAAAAAAAAAAAAAAAAGAATCAAAACAAAACAAAAAAAAGAGAAAAAAATCAATAAAAACAAAAAAAAAAAAGTAGAAAAATGTGCTAAAAAAAAAAAGTGAAGGTTGTGTTAGTCAGCTTGCCGAATTATGGATTTAATGTTGAGATTTTGGTTAATAGTTGGACCACTTGCTGATAAATGTTGTGCGTCATTCCTTTTTCTTATATTAGTTAACCTGAAATTAGAGGAGTTTGTGGTTTAGAAGCTAACCGAAGTGATATTTCTTGGACTTGATCATTGGTGCTTGATTATTATTTTTCTTGATATCTTGGCAATTTGGTAGATAGAGCAATGGTCATTATCACATTTTGGTATCTGTTTACTATTCTTATGCTTGAGGACAAGCATGGTTTAGGTGTGGGGGGAATTGATAGGTTGCAATTCATTCACTTATTTTATTATTAATTTCCCCTATTACTTGACCTGATGTGAATTAATTATTAGATTCTACTCACTTTTCGTAATTTACATTTATTTCAGGGAGTAGAACGAAAATATAATAACAGGTGCTAATTTGGCAGGAAAAGAGTCCAGATGATAGAACTTATTCTAGGGGCATTTTTGGAACAACAAACGTGAGCCCTTGTTGGGCAAATTGGGCCGAAGTCTTCACTTTCCTGCACAGGAGCCGCCGCAAGGAGTATTCCTTTATATAGGAAAATTACGCAGGAAAAAGGGAGCTTCTTCTTCTGGTGCGGCGGACGCCGCACAGGAGCAATAGGCTAATTGGAATAGGAGTTGCGCAGAGGAAGAGCAGTGACTCTCTTCTTAGTTTCTTTTGTCCTTTAGCTTAGTTTCTTTTGACTTTTCTTTCTTTTTAGCTTTTAGTAGTTCCTTGTCTTCCTTCGAATGTTAGCCAAGAGTACAAGCAATCAATCAACTCCTGTAGCTTACTTTTCTTATTGATTTGAGCGAATTGAATTTGCCTAATTCATGGATACGAAGGTCGCAGCTATTGCCGCAATTTCTGGTGGGTTTAGTTCATCAAACATGAACTAATTTCACCACTCTAGTCAAGAACAACGGGGGATTTGGTTCTACTAAATTTGTGAGATCGAATTAGTTTTTATTTATTTCCATTATTCACTGGTATTTGTCTATCTTTTGCTTTATGTTCATATGGTTGTTTTATTATTCGATTATCCAGGGCCCGGATTCTAGATTAATTCAATAACCTGAAGCCAATTAGGATAGTTAAATCCGTAATTGTTTAATTATTCTAAACTGGTGGCAACTGGCATGATTGGGTTTGTGTCAGGGGGATAGACAGGCTAACTTAAAGAGACCCTCGTAGCGTGTTGATTGGTTAGAATTAGGCTCTTCTAATTATTCATGCAATTAGGGAATTGAACTTCTATGGTCGTACCTAGGGTTATTTCCTGATTAGAGAAATAGTCAACGGTCGTACCTTGGCTATCGACAAATTGAGGAAGAGTTGGTTGTTTATCGCGTGTATGACAACTATAACTAATTTATCAGATAGTAACTGGAATAATCCTTGCATCTGTGATCGAATTAAGTGAACCATCTCCGAAGTTGTCTCTTGGCTAGAGTTCGTCCATTATTATTTTTATTGTGATAATTAGTTATTTGAGTTGTAGTTATTTTATTTTATTTATTCCAAGTAATTTAGTTACTCTCATTTTCCAAAACCCCCCATACTTTGGACTCTAAAAGAAACGAATTATCCCCAGTCCCTGTGGATTCGACCCTACTCACCGCTATATACAAAATCTGTATTTTTCTAGAGTAGGTATTTATTATTGCACAGGTTCGGCACCTGTCACTTAGTTTGAAAATCAAGGGGTAGTGGTGGGATTATTTGCTAGATTAATGTTTCAAACACACACACACACTATATATATATATATATATATATATATATATATATATATGTAGACACAAACTTGCAAGATTAAATGTATGCCGAGTTAGGAAAAAAAATTAAAAATTTTTATGAAAGTAATGTATTATGTATCCATACTTATTAGTGTAAAAAAAAATTGACATGTTGGCAAAATAAAACCATAATTGTAGAAAAATAAAGGCATGGGAGTGATGGGCCACATGGACTATATATTTGCAAAATTAGATTGGATAAGCTCCTATATTAAATACCTTCTTGCAATTTTGCTCTAGACGAGGTGCTAGGAAAGAGAATTTTTGTTACCACTACGAGAAAATGACATTGCCAATGATATCTCATTTAGGAATTGGCATTATTTTTAGTTTCTCAAGCTTAATTTTATCTTCTTCTTCTTCCTTTTATTTTTTGTTGGAAAATTGTTTTGTTGCTGTTTTTGTCATTGGAAAGAAGCAAAATGCACTGAAACACAACAAAAAAAAAATTTGGGTTTCTGTAAATGCTAAGATAATACATACCAATACTTGCCGGAGCACCAAATTGAATGCTAGAGACATTGATGTAAATTAACTTTGCCTGGCTGAGCTTCGTATTAAGGTCTTCAACAAGTTGCTTAAGTCTGTCATTAAATAGTTGAACTGCATCATTAATTGAGTCAACGCATGTTGGTGTGGGAAACATACTTATCTCAGTTGGGATGCAACCAAGAGGACCCAATCCAAATAGGACCAATTTTCTTGCTCCATAATTATACAAAGTCTGCAAAAAATTGTCTAGCAGTTATTACCTTTTACAAAAATATATCACAACAATTCAACATTAAACAGCATTAAACGAGGAAAACCACCTAATAAAATACTATGGCAAATGGTGTTGCAATTCCACTTGAAATTTTCATGGTTGTTGATTGCTCCTGTGACGTTCACATAAATTAAAAGAAAACTAAAAAAAATGTACAAATTTATCTCAAAATAGTTTGACAATGAATTAAACGCAGAGGAACAATTCATTTATCTGGACACAATCGACAGCTAGTTCATTTCAATCTAAAGTTACGTGCTAAAAATTCTCTGAATATGATAGATGTTGATTTTGTAAATCATGATTACATTAAAAATAGAAAATTATGATCACCTTTTGATTTGATTTAGAGAAAAAATTATGCACGATTTTTTTTAATCTCATGGAACATATAGTAAGACATGTTTCTTGACTTTTTATTCTGCAAGTACCAAGTAACTAGGAAGTCTTAAGGCTCTAAAAGGACTCAAAAAACAAAAACAAAAAAAAAAAAAACACTATGACGTATCATATTTTGTAACGTTTGTGGTGTCATATATGTCACCACTCTATCCTAGACCATACGAGAAATTGGATTTATTAGTGAGACAAATAGTCTAGGGTGTTAAATTATAAAATGTATCCTTGAGGGACAACATCAAAACTACATTGAAGTATGGGGAAAGATGATTTTAAGTGTTATAAAAAATGCCAACTAAGCGCAAACAAAATATTGATCGAAATACGAACCATTAGTTGATGCAAATATTGTTGAATCAAGGCTGCAGCATATTGATCTGGTGTATATTTGCTACTTGAGTTATAATTTTGTGGCAAATAGTAGTTGTTGATGTAATCATTACTACCGATCATAACACTGTACAGACATTTGTTTAGGTGCTTTCTTGCTGAGGTCTCGTTTCCAATCAAGGAAGCAATGCGTGAAATTGTTGTTCGATGGTTAAGCATTTGCTTGTTGAAGCTGAGGTTATCACCCTGACATGAATTTGGGAAAGTGAGCTAGTTAATAATAGTCCTTTGCAAATAGTGACTACAAAACTGGAAAATATGAACAAAAATTTGATAAGATGAAAATGGAACAAAGGGTTCACTTGGTCTGTTGTATGACCACTCGTTCTCCTAATTTCTTGTATGATAAGTCGGTGGCAGATCAAGCCAGCACCCTTGGCTTAGGGGTTAACCTTCAACACATCATATGTTGCAATAGTAGAGTTAAGCCAAAAGGATGTCCTTAATAAAACACACCTTTTTTTCTTTGAAATGCACTTTCAAGTCTAAAATTTAGCATAAAGAGTTTAGAAACGTCAAAAAGATTTAATTTGGATTAGCATTGATAGTTTAACTTTAAATAGATCCAGCACTCTCGTGAAGTGTAATAATCATAAACCATTAATTTTTTTTTCTTTCAGGAGAGGGATGAATGTGGAGAGCAAATATAATTCAAGGGGATGGTGGTGGGGGTGGGGGAGGGGAGACAAATAGGAAACAACGTTAAAAAATTTCAAACGCTTTAAAGCTTAAAAAAGTAATTTTCTAAAACTTGATGGGAATGCTCATCCTCTGGTACCCGTGTGGGTTGTCCTGTCTGTTGAGGACTTTTAACTCCAAATATGTATGACATCCATTTTTGATATCCTTGAAATAAGATGGGGTCACACTAATAGACCATTTTCACACATAACAGCTTAATTACAATTCTCACAGTTAGTTAAACCTAAACCACACTATATTCTCTGCGTAATTAATTGGTGTAGTAGCTACAATCTCTTGTTGTGAAATTTTAGTTATACTTTTGAACATTAATTGCACCTAGACAACGCTATATTCTCTTGTTTTTTCCCTCACAGATTGGCAGTACCAAGTTACTTGACTTAGTTTTCCATCTCAATTAAAACTTAATACCTATCGTGCATGGTTGGTTTTACCTGTTCATTCGTCTCTGTTGTCACTTTAAAATAGTTTAGCGTGTGATCAGTTACGTGACCTAGGGCAGCAAGTTTGTCGGAAATGCACTCCAAACATTAATTTGCGTGAGGCAAAAAACTTTTGCAATATTGGCTGTACTCCTTGGAATTGGAAAGTGACACTCAAAGAAGATGACAGCTAGGTAAGGGATGTATGATCAATTACTTCCAGCTTTCACTCTATCCGTTAGCTTTACTATTTAATACCTTATAGCATCAAATTATGACACATTTTCCTATCATATTGGTTATTAACGAATTGTCTCTATTTATTTTGAAGTCAAATTTCCTTTGCGCCCTTAATTTGCAACTGTTTATACAGATACTATTATTCGTCTGCAGCTACTGAAGTATTTTTCTTCAAAAAAAATAAGTGTTGAAGCTCATTGGTTTTCAACCGATTAGAGGAATGAACTATGGTAGTGTAAGGCACCTGAATACAACCCTTTGTGAATTAGGAACCGAACCGCGAATCTTTTACAGTTCAAGGATGCAGATTTCTAGTACCCTCACATTTATCATCTCCCTCAACTGTTTGAACTACAATAACTACTAGGTGGTTTTTATAATTTGATTCCATTAGCAAATAGGGTTATCTGGGAAGAATATTAACTTGTATCCTATCAGATTACGTAGTCTGAACCATCCATCTAACTGAAAATTTTCTGACTTTTTGCTAAAGTGTCTTCAGGTGAGAAGTTTAGGGGGAAGATGAAGAAAATGGTCGAACTTTCATTCTTTATCAGGATTGACTTGCTGCATGAAAAATAGGGTCCAATGGCTGCACTTAATATTTTTCTTGATTAATTGATTTTATGTAGTAAAGTCGGGGGTAGCTTGAAAGAAATAGAAATTTGTGGTGCATATCTTTCATTCTTTTTTTCTTTTAAATTGGGTCATGTATGTACCTTTCTTATATGCTTCCTTAGTTCAACCCCAAAATATCCAATGACAATAGTATGCTAGTGTTGATGCACAAAAGGAGCACACAACTACAAGGTTGTGGGAGAAATTACCCTATGTTTACCAGTCTCATCGCGAATTCCAGCTCCTCCTGAACCATAATTTATGCCTTTGATGATTTCTTGACCGCTTGCAGTTGCAAATGGTGGAATGAAATCATTGAATCCAAGGAGCTGAGCTGCAATAGATTATCAAAAATGGGTTTGTTACCATGTCATGTAAAATGAATAAATAGAACAGGTTAATCATTGTTAAAAAGGACCTCAATAACAATAAATTTTGAGAATTAATTGATAGAGGGTCTTTCTTGCTCCAAGCAGAACAAAAGAAATTACCAAAAAAAATAAGGAATAAAAGCCAAAAGTGCAGAAGAAATGAATTTAAGGAAACTTATAATTCCAAAGAAAAATCTAGAATAACGAAAGAGACGATACCAACAATATCGATGATTGTTCTTCCATTTGTGAATCTGCCTGTTGGCCCATCAGGAAAATCAATTCCGTAGGGCCGGTAATTGGCCTTGGAAGTTGTATTAAGGTTATTGTTATTGCCATTATCAACTAATGAGTCCCCAAAGCTAAAGAAACAAGGGATCTGTTGTGCACCTAAAGTTGTTTGCGGGTTGAAAATGATGAAACCTATGAATACCAGAAAACATGTACAGACTTTAAAAGACATAGGAACTGGAGAGAGATGTATATAAAACTGACTAAGAGAAGGATGAAGAGATTCAAGGTTATGGTGCCAAATGGTGGTTGTCGATTTAATTGTGCATAGTTGCAGCAACTAAAAAACATGAGAATCGACAAACTCTACATGTTGTTAGGCAATTTTTTTTTTAGTTTTGGACTACCCTCCGACAAAATCTCCGGATTCCCAGGAGTCTATCTGGAGTTCCGGACGAGATGTAAATTGAAGCATTATATAGACGGAAGAAAATTATCTGAAATTAGATAAACAGTTTAACTCCATCGTTATTTGAATGCTTAGCTACCTTGGAAATTTATTTAATTAGTTGCGCCGGCTCATTGTGAGTGCAACTCTTTTTTTTCTTCCTTTTTCTTTTAAGGGAAAAATGCTGTTTTGATTCTCAATTTTTACATGATCATCAAATTCAGTGACGAGGTCAGGACCATAAGATTAGAAGGGTCAATCTCCAATAGCACATGGAATATAGTAGGTTGGCCAATCTCTGCCAGCATATGGAATATAATAACAATAGAGTTAAAGTCAATGATAGTCTATGTAAAATAAACATTTTTTCTCCAATTTTTTAAAATTGTGCTTACATTTAGCAGCAAACATCATTCAACTTAAACTTTGAAAACTTGTTCTTGGACTAACATCCATAGGTTCAGCACTCTTGTTAGGGATCAATTTGGTCAAATTAACATACTACAAGGACTGCATTTGTTTTGATCGAAAAGATTAACAATCGATTTGGTCAAAATTGAATACTTTGGAGACTATATGTTTTTAGCTGAAATATTAAGGACTAATTTGGTCCAACCCCCAACTTTGAAGACTAATAGTGAATTTTCCAAATATATGTATATGAACTCTACAGCATTAACGTCATGGTGTTGTATATTAGGACAACTTTATGATCGGAATTCCATACCATCGTGTAGGTTATTGCATTTGCTATGAATTTATTACATTAGAGTTTATACATTTCGTCATTGTTGAACAAGTTGACGAATGTCCATTGGATAGGCATCAGTAGGTAATAGACCATTATATGCTCTTGTTGCCGTTAACACATTGACAGTCTCTGTAGGATGGAAACTATCCCAGAATAGGTATATGGCTCTAAAGGTGCATGGCCTTACTCCAGGTTTGCATAGACCAGTTTCTGAAACTTTGCAGCATGGTTGGTTGAGAATTTGCAACCCTAAGAGAAACATAATCAGTGTAAAGTTACAATTGGTTAAGTGTTGTATAGTAAGATGCCTAGTTTCTTCTTCCTCTTCTTCTTCTTTTCATGCAAAAAGTAACTAAACTGATTTTTGAAAGAAATTTATTTATACTTGAGGTGATACCATATGTGTATTTCTTAGTATAACATTTCTTAGAATATTTTGTACATGCTTAGAGAAAGAATTTGTTTACTTATTATATACGAATTAATATGCCGCATTCAAAGTCCTAAAATGTTAACAATAATAGAAAGGGTCTGTATTTTCAGTAACTTGTTCATGCTGAACAATAGTGTAGAGTTAAGTAATTACTATATTTATTAAAACATAGATGGACTGCTGTTCTTTGTAATTCTAGCTCAAAAGATCATATCAGTTGTCATTTACAAACTTTCCACATAATATTTGATTGATTGACCCCAAAATGCAAAACATTCATCCACATGAAACTAGGTAGACAAGTTTTAGATGTATCATCATGAAAATAAGGATCAGCATAAAATTTTCCCAAACTTATCTTCCCCATTCCTTTTTCAATTTCTTTTGTTTAATATGTCATTGGGAAAATGCTGATATTCAAAGACCAAGCAAAAAACTGCACATGCGTAAGTTTTGTTAAAACCTACCAATGGTTGCAGGATCTCCCGATTGAATGCTAGTGATATTTATGTAGATGAACTTTGCATCTGTGAGTTGTCTGTTGAAGTCATCCACAAGAAATTTGAGCTTATCATTGAATAGTTGAACTGCAGCATTAACTGAATCCACACATGTAGTGGTCCGGTATATGCTTATCTCAGCTGGTGTACAACCAATTGGACCCAATCCAAATAGGGCTATTTTTCTTGCTCCATTGTTATACAAAGTCTAGCACGAAAGAAACAACAATTAATCTCACTCACCAAATAATAATAATAATAATAATCAAGGAAATCCGTGCTTGATAAGGCCAAACTATGGTAGGCATAGTGGAATTATCAGATGACATAATCACGAAAGAAGTAAGAGTGATTGTACTAATAACTCAGTTTACCATAAAGAAAGTAGTGAGGTTTTATACAGGGTAGTATCTAAAGTTGTTGCCGTTAGTGGTACAAACTTAAAATGTACGTCATTTTGAATTTTTTGATATTGATACCTCATAGCAACCTTTGATGGCTTCATAATTCAGCATTTATAATCTCAGATATTAGGGGAATTTTTATCCTTGTAATGTTGTGTTAGAACGTCCTGTAAGAGTTATCTAGAACCAATCCAAATTTAATTTAGTAGTAACTCATTGTTGAATTTGAATTTTATCCCACCAACTATTTTATTTGTTGGGTTTTGGGTTTTATCCCATACGGTAGTGGGATAAACCCAAACCCAATACTCATTACTACAATGATTGCACCTTCCTATGTCTCTTATGTCATTATATTCATTTAAATGCGTTTGAAAGTGTCATCAGATAATTCCTTATTCTTTTATAAGCCATTTTGATTGTTTAATTGATATATTGGGGTTATATCATAATTTTCTATAAACTTAACTAGTTCTATACAGTTTTCTTTTTAGATTTAGTAGATCTTCGAAGGAAAAAAAATCGATTGCTAACCACACTGAGAAAAATGAAGGATGGAAATGGAAACTCCAATGGTAACACAAACCATTAGTTGCTGAGAATATTGTTGAACCAAGACTTCTGCGTATTGAGCTGGTGTATATAATTTGCTCGTCGGATAGATCTGTGGCATTAAGTAGTTGTTGATGTAATCATTGCTCCCAATGACAACAGTGTACAGACATCTCCCAAGGTACTCGTTTGCTGCAGCCTGGCTTCCAAGTAAAGAAGCAATGTTTGAAACTACTTTTTGATGATTTAGCAATTGTTTGTTGAAGCTGATGCGATCACCCTAAGGAAAATTGTAGAAAATTAGTTTGTGATTAAGTAAATAGGAAGAAATATCTTGCCCATAAAAAGGGCTATGTTTTACATGACTATATGTAGATGATATATGTATTTTGTAGGCAAATAGAGCTCATTTAATTCCTTGAGATGTGACAGATAGAGATCAATACTCAATATACAAGCTATACCAGCAACAAAACAAAGAACTAATTAGGGGGCATTGGGTAACGTACCTAGTTTCTAAAATCCCTCTTATCAAATCTATATTCAGTTAGGTGATAAGTCCCTTATGGAATGCTATTGAGTAACACTTAATATTTTAATTCTTATTACCAAACTTGCTTGTAGGACTAGTTTAACCATTGGGCTATTTACTACTTAAATTTGTTGAATTGTTCGTCAAGAGACATTGTACAATGATATGACGGGAACTAATATAATGAAAGTTGTTTTTCAAGAATAAAATGCTTTCTTTGTTAAGTTCTGAAATTGCAACAAAGTACTTCTATAATGCTGGCGAAGAATTTTGAAAAGCTGGAAATTCTAATTGGCACTGTTGAAAAATAAAAAAGAACTTCAAAGATATGAGGATTGTAGAACTTAAAAAAAAAAAATTTGTCACTTTCTCCACCTAATATCAACCATTTAGAATTTTACAAAGATTTAAATTTTCAAGTAGTGCAAAAGAAAAGCCATCTCTGCTGTCCAGGTGGGTAAGAGTACTTTTGGCAGTTTCTGCCAAAAAAAAAAAAAAAAAAGATAATCGGAGCGCCATTAAAAATTTCCATTTCCGAAACTGCAACTAGTATGACTCCATGCTTGAACTCTTGGTTTCCTTTTGAATGCATGTTTACCAAACCAAGGGTAATTTGTCTTCTTATATTGGCTATGCTAAGCAGGTTTATTCTGTGATAGATGTTTTCGCAGTGTACTCATTTCATGCTAAATATTGTGCAACTAATTTGCACCCAAAAACCTAATTTTCAATTAAGTGAAATGGAATGTCTAATAGTGATTTTTATCTTTCCTTGTGATTTAGGAATAAATAAACTAATAAACTCTAGCAGAATCGATCCCCCGAGATAAAATGTAATAGCATACGTTATGAAATTGAAAGATAAAAAACAAGAAACTGCAAACCGTAAGTCAATGACAGAGATAATAGTTTATCCTTCGCTATGCTGCTTGTTTACTTTTACAAGGATTTGGAATAGATACCGTTGAGTTCTATATGATTTTGTATGGCTGTCGTACTTAATAAACTATTTGATGTGCAATTATGTTACCCTGTTATCCAAATATAGTTGACATATCTTATTTAGTAATTACTACATCCATTTTTCACTATTATAATAAGATTGTATTATTGTGCACCAAATAATGTAACAAATACAGCAAATTAACAGAAAAATACAGCCTCACTTGACCCAAACTCCTCACTAGTTACATACGTGCATGTATGACTTCTAATCCCATAGAGCAAAGACTGCTATCAAGAAAGTACTCACCAATTGTCTACCAGTCTCATCGCGAATTCCAGCTGCCCCTGAACCGTAATTGACACCTTTTATGATGTCCTGACTTGTTGCAGCTGCAAATGGAGGAATATAGTTCTCAAATCCTACGAGCTGACCTGAAAGATAAAAATGTTCCCATCGGAGGTCAGTAATGTCTAATAAGTTGGAGTGAAAATAAAAGATAGAAGCTAATGTCTTGGCAAGAGGACTTGGTAATGTTCAAACAATATCATTTTCAGCTTTTCCAAAGCAGCAGTGCAATCGATTGTTGAAAAAAAGGAGGAAAAAAAAAAGGTGGAACCAGAGAAAATCGACAAAGAATATTAGAAGAAAGTTGAACTAATCAAATGATGTATGATTGCTGAGCAAGATAACCCTTGTTGAAACGATCTCCAAGCTTTTATGCTATTCCCTTCCACAAAAACAAAGCCAATTAAATTTCCAAGATGTAGAGTTGGGAGATATGTACCAAGGATGTCAAGAATGGTCCGGCCATTGGTGAATCTGCCTGTTGGGCCATCAGGAAAATCGATCCCATAAGGTGGATAATTCACTTTTGCCGAAGTTGATAGGTTGTTGTTATTGCCGTTATCAACTAATGAGTCTCCAAAGCTAAAGTAACATGGCACTTGAGGTGCACCCCAAATTGGCTCAATATTGCAAAAGACCAATGCTATTGGCAGCGTAGACCATATACAAAACTTAACAGCCATAATTGCCCCAGTGACTGCGGAAAGGAGAGGTTTGTTTAGTTTCGTCATCTCGCCAAAGAAGCAAATATATAGACATATGTATACGCACACACCCACGCATACATGTGTATAAAGAAATAGAATGAAAGTAAGGGTACAAATGGTTATTCTAAAGCTAGATTTGGATACATTGGTGTAATTGTAATTGCCTCACCCTCGAGTTTTGGCGTACCAATGAAAATTTTTGAATTTATACCTCTAACTTAAACTTTTTTTTTTCGAGCCATGTATAAAAATAGTTAAAAAAAAAAAAGCTTAATTTGAATTATAAGCATATTAACATCAGCATCTAGGCCATTGACGTAAAATGATAGTATCAATATTTGTAAGACAATTAACATAAAATTCTAATAATATAGAATTAGTTCAAGACCCAACTTAATTGGTAGAAAACTAACGAAGTAAATTTTGATGTTTTTGGCTCAACTTTTAAACCTTCCCATTTTCCCCTTCCATTTTATAACGTTTAGAGTCTCTCTGATTTCATTAAAAAAATAATAATAATAACGATATCATCCCAAAAACATGCAAGGAAGAGGGTATTTTTTGGCACTACAGGTTAGTACAAAAAAAATGCAAAATCGGCACTCTAAGGGTGACAAAATTGGTAATCTCTGATAGTGAATGCTCACACATGGCAGGTGGCAACTGACTTTTGTGACATGACGGCATCGATCAGGAAGTCAATGTAAAATTGGTTGGCTAAATATTAGTGGATGGTTGGGAGGAAGAAATTGTACAACAAATTAGTAATGGATTTTATTTTTTTTTATGTCCAACTTGTGGTTGTAAGGCTTAAATTAATAGAAAGGATCAAGAAGTATTCCATCGATTCCGATCCAAAATATATTCCTCGCATCCCATTAATTAAATGACCATCAAGAATGAACAAGGTTTCTTTAGTATGATTTTCGTTTAATGCCTTCTAGCCCATCTATACCAAGGATGCGGATACGGGCATAACTACCAAGGAATAATGTGGGCTTCTGACTTCTTCATAGTTTATACAATTATTGCTTTGGGAAAAATGCACTTTTCATCCCTAATGTTTAATGTGTTAACCAATTTCATCTCTAAAGTTTCATGCAAAACACATTTTATCCTTGTAATTTTATAATTTTGATTAATTTCATCCTTCAAGTTTTACGCAAACACATTTCATCCTCATAATTTCCTAAATTTGGCTAATTGAGGACAATTGGTAGATTGTCAAACAATTTGAATGGGATAGCGTCACTTGATCACGACATGCCTATTAGGTAAAAAAAAAAAATTGGATCAACAAAAAGCTCAAAAATCTTTTCTTAATTCACTTTCTCATTTTAATACAAAAAAGACTAAGAAATTTTTAGCCACGATTACTTCCTTTTTAATCACAATCGAACAAGAAGATCCAAAGAAAATGAAGTCAGTGGGAAAGAAACAATCCCACTATAGCCAATTGAAGAAAAATGTCAAACAGACCCAATACAACTAATTGGAGAAAAATATTAATGCAAAAGAATGAATGGTTTGGATTGTCATTTATTTGCAAAATTTTGTTTTGTTGCATCATATAATTGTTTTCCAATCATCTATTTATCTTTCAATCTATTTATTTGGTTTCAAATATATCATATCACAATTTAAAGGGAAAAAAAGAGATAGTCTCCTATCCAAAAACACTTGTTGTTATTTCTATAATTTAATCAATAATTGAATTAAGTATTAATAATACAATTATTAATGGGACATGTGATGATATTATGCCTAAATTTGTTAACAATCCTTTAATTGTCCTTAATTGGTAGGAATTGTAAAACTATGAGGATGAAATGTGTTCTACATAAACTTTAGGGACAAAATTGGTCAAAATCACAAAATTATGAGGATGAAATGTGTTTTCTATGAAACTCTAGGGATGAAATTAGTGAACACCTTAAACATTGGGGATGAAAAGTGCATTTTTCCCTTATTGCTTTTGTCCACTATGTTTGACACCCAAACAACATGCTCTATTTAAATTAGCTATTTTTGGAGGTGTTTTTTAAAAATTTTACTGTAGTTGTGTATATAAAAAACTTTTACTGTAGATATTTTTTGAATTGTTTTTAGAGATATTTTTAAAATATATTTTTGAGTATTTTTATAATTTACAATTTTTTTGAGATTTTTTTTAAAAAATTTTACACGACCCACTAGTATTCGCTCCCTTTTCCTCCCCCTCTCTCCTTTCTCTTCCTCTCCTCCTCCCCTCTATTTCCTCCCCCTCCTCCTCCTCCCCCTTTCCTCTCCCTTCTCCCTTCTCCCCCCTTCCCTCCTTCCCCCCAACCCCAAACCCCTCTCCTGTTCGTGGGTGGTGGCTGCGACTTTAGCCACAACCACGACCTTGGTCCGGCTTCTGGTCATGATCAGATTTGATCGTGACTAGGAAGGTTGCGATCAGTCGAGGGAAAGGAAATTGGGGGGCAGGGAAAGGGAAAGAAAAAAGGAGGAAGGAGGAGGAGAGAGAGTCGTGGTTGTGGGGGTGGTGGCTGTGGTGGTGGAGAGTGATGGGTAGTTGTGTAATTTTTTATATATTTGGAATTGTTTCTTATATATTATATGGATATGTTATTTTTGGAGTTGTTTTTGTTTGTGTATTGATGTAGCATTGTAGATGAAAAAATTATTTTTCAAAAAAGTCTGAATCCAAACAGAGCCTTAGGTATCTCACATGAAAACTAAAGGGGTTTTATCATTATGATTTTGATCGTCAATGGTAGTATCATAATTTATTGTTTTTACTATAATTTAGAGTTCCTGAGCGAACAAAAAAGGAAGCGTGTTAAGCCACTCTATCGTTCAAAAGTTCAAAGTTGACAAAATTCCTGATTGTTAACATCTTAAAGATGGTCTCAAGTAATCGAATATACTTTGCAACAATTTTTAAGTTTTATAGAATATAAAATTGTTGGAATAACTTATAAGACTCAACAAGATATTCGGCAGTGTTGTTGATTTGTGGCTTTATCATATTTTTATGACCACCTGTTTTTTAAATTAGTTTTTCAACTCCAACAAGATTATAATTTGAGATAAAACACAAGATTATAATTTGAGATAAAACACTAGTACTATGGTGTGTTTGGATTGTAAGTTATTTGCCCAAATATATTTGCTTACATCATCATTACAATTTTCAATACACCTTTTTATCTTCTCAATTACCTTTTTATCTCACATACATCACATCACAAAAAGTGCTACAGTTGGATTGTAAGTTATTTGAGATATTTTTACTGTAGCACTTTTTGTGATGTGATGTATGTGAGATAAAAAGGTAATTGAGAAGATAAAAAGGTGTATTGAAAATTGTAATGATAATGTAAGCAAATACATTTGGGCAAATAACTTACAATCCAAACACACTAACAACGCTTGTTTCAGAAAAGAAGGTATGAATAAAAAGTTCAGCCCTGCTTGCTGTCCAATCACTATTCTTTGTGCAATTATCATCTCAGCTGCTGTATTATACAATTGGTGAATACCTGCACATAGTCACATACTACATGGAAAGTCATCACATAGAATCATACTGTGTGTTGACTAACGCGAGAACGATGAGAGCCCAAATATTAAGATGAAAGCCTTAATATTAGGCTAAGAATTTCCTTTCTTGCAATATTTGCTCCCACACTAAAATTGATCAAGAAAAGTTTACTAAAAGCGATCAAGAAAAGTTTAGGGTTGAAATTGTACTTTGGACCCTTAATTTGCAGACGCATTTCCATTTTAGTAGTACTTAAGCATTAATCTTAGATACTTTACAATCTAAGGCATGAATTTTATCCCACTTTAATTCTAGATATTTTATCCCTTAAAATGTGAAATTAATCTTTAAAATTGTCAAAAATTAATATTATAGTAAGCAAGTGATATTCAAAGTTAAGGTATAAAGTGAATAGATTTCATACAAACGATATTCAAAGTTTAAGGTATAAATTGAATAGATTGCGTACTTTAGAGGGTGCAAAATGTCCAAAACTGAAATTTAAGGTCAAAGTGGATGGATTTCATACCGTATGAGTTAAAATGTCCAAAATTAAGATTTAATTAGAGCTAAAGTAAGAATACATCTACAATTTAAGGGTCTAAAATTAAATTTTACCAAAAACGTAATTGGTCCCTCCTTCAACTCATTATTAGTCTATGACTATGGACATACACACGTATGTATAATGAGAAGTATAGGTGTATATACTTAGGTTAGCTTTAAGTGATCCCTCCTGAATTTCGACTTCATTCATGTTGTCAATTCCATACGGAAATCAATTGGCCTTCGACATTGCATTTAGGTTATTGTTATTGCCGTTATCAACTAGAAAGTCACAAAAGCTAATGTAACATGGCACTTCTTGTGCAGCTAATATTGGCTGTAGGTAGAAAATGACCAATATTATGGACGCTACAAGCCATGTATTAGCCATAAAAGACATGGAACCCCAAAAAGGTAAGAAAATACGCAAGTGCTGATAGATGTTTCTCAAGTTCTTTCCTTCCAAATAAGGAAAGAATAAATTTATAGGAGGATGGAGGGAATGCAGGTTATGGTTTCTATTTACAACATTCTCAGGAATTCAAGGAATGTAGGTGGGCTATATATTTTTTCTTTTTCCAATGCAGTGGAAAGTCAAGGAATGGCCATTATTTATTATTATGGGCTCTATTTATTTCCAAGGAAGTTACGGGATACAAAATTCTTGACTTTTAAGTTGTTTATGTTTTTCTTTTTAATTCCACTACAGTCTGTGCCAAAACAAACCGACAATCCTCCTTAAGTTGTAAAACATTAAGTCAAGAGTATAACAATTGGGGGGTTTTGGTTGGAACCACAAAAAACATAAATGTGCAGAACTTTTCGTCTAAGATTCTTATATACAATACACCGTTCATATTCGCATCTTATAGTTTTTACCCATTGAACTGACCTCTAAAAGGTTAAATCATCTAATCGGCCCTCAAACTATTATCTTTACACGTTTTGGCTCATCATCTATTTTATTAATAATTAAGATCCTACACAAGTCGATGTGTATGAATCATCCAAAAAAAAGCCGTTTAAGCTCATGACAGAAGGGACAATTTCAGCCCTTCACAAAAAGCAAACCAAGAGGTGAATAATAAATCGTGCAGCCATTTCATCATGAGGTTTTTTTAAATAATTCTTTGACACATTTTTCAGCCTTTTTAAACTCACCATATATCACATTCCAAGCAACTATATATATATATATATATCCTACCTAATTATTCCCCCAAGTTGTAACGCTTGGTAACTGTATAAATTAGTATTATTAACAACATATTTTTGCTAAAGAAAAGAATTGAGGGAGAACAGAACAAATGCAATTCGAGTACCAACCTCGAGATAATCGGTGAATCAAGCGATCCGCAGATTCATCTTCGTCATAGATCCTACTTATTAGCTCAGTGGCAGGGAAGTAGCCGTTGAGGAAATCGTTGTGACCAATGCGAACAGTATACAAGCATTTTTCTAGATACTCTGTTGCTGTCTGATTTCCAATTAACAATCAAAGACTTATAATTGTTTCACCATGATCCCATAGCTGCTCCTCAAAGCTGACTTCAGCAAGACCCTGAGAAATTGATTGAGGCACGAAAATCAATTTTCGTTAATTTGTCCATTCTCATCAAGATAACTAACAGCTAAATAATCATTTAAAAACTTTTGTAATTTGTTAGGCTCGATCTAATAGATCGAGGGTTTGTATAATTACTGATGAAAGCTGTACCGTGCAGAATCGGCAGTAACATAATAAGTGTAGACACTAAATCAATAAATGTGAACATTAAAATAACAAGATCATTCCTAATAAAAAGGAAAAAATTAACAACATAACAAAAGGCAACAAATTTTTCTCTCGATATTTGTACCAAAAAATTTATTGTAATTTTAGATGTTATTGTGTTGGTGTTTACATTTATAATGCTATTGTCTATACTGTACGGAGGGCATTGCAGGAAAAAATCTAAATTACTAAACCATCAAATCATCAAACTCAATAGAAATACGGAAATCTCAATTGTACCTACTACCATGAGTCCGGTTTGACCATATGAAGAATAGTGTATCAGTTTTTTTCTTAAATGCATTTGTTAAGCAAACTAGAATACCGTAATTTGACTTTGACACTGACAAAAAAGGAATCAAACATCAAGAAACTAGAATAGCATACATCCAATTTTTGTACACGAACATCTGATTGCAAATGGTGTCTAGGGGCGGCTTGGTGGCTGTACAGTGGCTAATAGTAGTGTTATCACTACCACAAGTTGTATTTAGGCAGCTACGCTGTAAACATTTTCCCCCAAACTTATCTTACCTGAACCGAGTGGACCAGACAATTAAAGATTTGGGAAGACATGAATTTATAAAACATTGATGGAGAAAAAAAAAAGAAAGAAAACATTAATGGAGGAAAATATTCCGACCATTGGTGTATCTTCCAGTTGCGCCATCAGGAAAATCAACCCCATAAGGTAGGTAATTTGCCTTGGTTTGTTGTTAGGAGGTTATTGTTATTGCCATTATCAACTAGAGAATCACCAAAATTAATGTAACACGGCACTTGAGGTACTTATGTTAGTATCCCTCACCTCCTAGACCCTGCCTTCCCCCTCTACCTCCCCTTTCCTCATCTAGCTGGGCTCCAATCTAGCTACCTCTTTCCTCTCTCCTTCCTCCCTCCTCTTATTTGGTTTTCACGAATGGTTTGGCCAAATATCAGATTGGTTCAAAGTTTCTTCAAGGATTTGTTATAACAGTTAATGGGAAGATAGGTAACATAAGAAGAAAATTTTTGAGTTCACTAAGAAATGAGAATAATCTTCGATCTAGGCACTGGGTAAACGAAAGAAGGATATGGGGTTACTTGATACATTTGTATTACCCCACTGTGGTGGAGAAACCAATTTCTTTGATACGAACGGACTACTTAAGCAGCCTTTACGATATTACAAAATGTGTCATTACTTTTAACCCCTCGTAAAATGTAAAGAAGGGGTTATAGGTCCATTATGTCAAATTTGATGTTCAGAAACTGGGTGATAATTTAAAGAAATAACACTCTATCTTTGCTTGCAAATTTGAATTACAATAGGTGTTTTGTCACGAATGCCTTGTTGATTCGCCTCTTGGGCATGATCCTGAAGTAACCTCAATCTTTTACAAATACACGTGGGTGCCTTGAGCACAGCTGATAAGTGTTTGTGGACTCGCTGTTGTTTGGTAATGGTTTATATTTTGCTGATGGGAATATCTTGCAACCTAATTTGCACATAGTTGAAGTCTCACAAATTGAGTTGTTATCGATTTCAAACCCATTATATAATTTTTACAATATCTTGTGTAAAATTGGTACAATTTTAGTATAAAACTTGAGTTTATAACTTATTTAACTAAGCTTATACAAAAATTCATGATTATATCAAAATGATACGAGTTCACACCAAATGTTATTAGATTTACATAACTAGTTTTTACTGAAACTTATGAGACCCCAAACCCATAAAAGAATATCTTAAATAATTACTCTTTTCCTTTTATTCAAATTTAATCGAGTGTCCAAACAGAAACTAACAAAGTACAAATAATTCATACTAGTATTTTGCATATATGCCTGCCTCTAGCGAGGGCAAACTCTGCTTTTTCTCGCCGCCACTCCAGACACCATTATTTCTTTGCATTGAAAAAAAAAAAACACACAAGGCACTTGTACCATGAATAAGTTTGAAACGAGATATGACATGAGTTACATCAGATTACTTGAAAACTTCATCATAGTTGAGCAAGGTGGCGAATGTCCATTGGATAAGCATCCGAGGGCAGAACTGAATCAACGGCTCTGATCGAGTAAGCTTGATACACAGTCTCGGTAGGATGTATGGCATCATAAAACGCGTACTGGGTCCTATTGCTGCACGGAGTACTTCCAAGAATGCAGAGTCCAGTTGATGAATCAACTTGGCAGCAGGGTTCAGTGAAAAATTGTATGCCTTATATATAGAAGAGAAAAGTGTTACTATAATTTTCAACAGATTTTGTATGTCGTTAGTTGTTACAATTTTTTTTTTAAATTTCTTAATACAAAGTAGAAAATTGTAGAATTTTTGGAAATAAAGTACTTGTGGTATTATTGACTAAAACAAGTCCAAAAAATACCTCCAAAATTCTTAAATTAGGTTCATCTTTCTCTCCTTAGAATCTAATAAGTATATCGACTACTCGAGTTTAGTGGTAAAATTTTGATATTGCTTCTTTGATAGAATGTATGTAGCTGAAAATGGTATATAGAATCCACTAGTCCAAAAGGTGGAATTCCAATTAATATTTTGTTTGCAAAACCATAGAAGACAAAGGGCCTTAATTTTGAATTTCAAGCGGCATAAAATGACTTCTCTTTTTCATTTCAAGAAATTAGGGGATTTTGATTCTCACAAGAATTTTTTTCTATGTACTAACAATTCACAATTAGAAAGTTAAAGGACCAAGAAAAGATCCTTTCGGAAAGTAATTAGACGATTTTCAAGGATAATTAACCCATGAAAATCCTAGGTACGTGTAAATAGAAACAGTCCTTACCAAGACTTGTTGGATCTCCTGACTGAATGCTGCTAGTTTTTAAATAGATGAACTTTGCGCCCACTAATTGTGAATTAAGGTCATCTACAAGTGGTTTAAGTCTGTCATTAAGTATTTGAACTGCGGGCAAATTACATTTTAGCCCCTTGTGGTTTTCGCAAAAACCACATAACCCCCCATCGTTCAAAAAGCTATACATAAACCCCCTGTGGTTTGGGTTGAACTGGCAAATAGACGGAAAACACCCACCGTAACGATTCGTGGGCAAAATGTCCAAATTACCCTAATATAAATACAAAAAGGAAGCAGATGAGTCAGATTCTTCCTTGTTCTGTCTTTGTCGTGAGAAAAGGAGAGAAAAACATGACCACCGAATGAAGGAGAGAAATTTAACCCACAAAGATCTACCATTGAAGACCAAAAAGTAGCTGTGAAAGAGCATCACGAAAGCTGTTGTTGCATCTGGTAAGTTTTTTGACATCATTTTAGCATATAAGATGCACTTGCATAGTTTTTGAACAGAAACTCAGGCATTGGAAAGTTAATAAATCAGTGATTATTTTGCTTAAGCGTTGATTAATTTAAAATTTTGCTGCTTTGGGACAATCTGTATTATCATATTTAAGCATAGAATATTTTATCGACTAGAATTGAATTTATGCATTAAGATTAGGGTAAAGAAAATTGCATTCGGGAGTAAAGAAAATCCCGCCTGCATAATAACGTTGAAACCCGCAAGCGAGATTCTGTGTTTTTTCTATTTCAAGGTTAGCTCGCATGCGGGTTAATGTTATATTTGAGCGCGAGAAGAAAAAATTGGTAATTAGGCTCTTTGGGCATTATAAGTAAATATTTAAATTAATGGCAGTTTTATTACACCAATATTATTGTATTATCATTATTATGATTATTGTATTATTTCTTATGCAAATATAACATTTAATTATCCAAGCAGTTTGATTTTATTTTTACAATTTATAAAATTTTTATCACTTATATAATATTTTTAAAACCCTAATACATCTAAATTTGATTTTATTTTTCAAATTTATAAGATTTTTATTTAAAAAAATGGGATACGGATAAGATATCCGGTTGGTTCGATTTGCATAGGTGCATATGAGAATATCCGAATACTCTTTAAACCCGCATGCGGGTTTAAGGAGATTATGGCAACTCTCTGACACACTAGTTACCCATCCAACTTGTGTGTAACTAAAATATATTTAAATCACTAGTGTAATTTTGTCTTATTCTCCTTGTTGGATTGCACCATGAGAAAAATTCACAACTTCTTGTCGCACAAACAAAATATAGCTTTCCTTTTGAAGGTTTGTCAGATTCAACAATTTTTACCACTGCTTTTCTCCCACATGAACAAAATAGGTATTGGTACCTTAGATCTTCAGTACTTCCACCAGCACTGCTTGAGCATGACATCTATAGTTTATTGAAAAAAAATTAATAATCCATTCAAGTCATATTTCAGGAAAGGAAAAGACTGCACCTTGATGTTAGAACTCACCTTCAGATTTCCTTCGTTCTCTATCTTGGGTTCCTTCACCAACATTCAGTGCAAAGTCAGCTACAAAGTATTTCGGAAGATGGAAAGAGATGAGGAGCACCCATCTAGGCTTTATTGGGTACGTCAAATTGGTCAGGGGTAATATGGGTATGTTTCCTACTGCTACCAGAAGAACAGGCGCGTTTTGCCCACGAATCGTTACGGTGGGTGCTTTCCGTCTATTTGCCAGTTCAACCCAAACCACAGGGGGTTTATGTATAGCTTTTTGAACGATGGGGGGTTATGTGGTTTTTTCGAAAACCACAGGGGGCTAAAATGTAATTTGCCCTTTTTTTTTTAGAATTTCAAACGTTAGGAATTTAATGAGATTCTTCAAATCTGCTAGAATTAACCTATATATTTTAGCACATAGCCACAACAATTTCGATATGAGTAAATTAGTATAGCCAGCCGGTGGGGACTTATGGACATGAGCAAACTGGTAAGAATTGTATGCAACAATTTGACGAAATTACCAGCTGAAAACTTGTCTCATCGCGAATTCCAGCTCCACCAGAACCATAATTTACACCTTTGATAATGTCCTGTCCTCTTGCAGTTGCGTATGGGGGGATAAAATTATCAAATCCGAGGAGCTGAGCTGCAAGAAAATTCACCAAAAAGATGACCATGGCAAAAAAAAAAAACAAAAATGGATTGTGCTTTTCTGCACCATAAGCTAAATTGACAAAGAAAATATGAAGGTTTAATTTGGTCCTTCGAAAATATAATTACCAATAAAGTCAGGAATGTTTCGACCGTTGGTGTATCTTCCTGTTGAGCCGTCAGGAAAATCAATCCCATAAGGTGGATAATTTGCCTTTGCTATTGTTGGGAGGTTATTGTTATTGCCATTATCAGCTATAGAATCACCAAAACTAAAGTAACATGGCACTTGAGGTGCACCAAGAACCAACTGCATGTCAAACCTGACCAATCCCATGGATACAAAAATCCATATATTAAGCATAAAACCCATTTTGAATTAGAAATAATTACGGAATGAATGACAAAGTGAACTACAGGTTTCTTTCCTTAAGTTTGGTTGTTGCCTTTCGCAAAGGAGGAACAATTTATAGTGTATGGAATGAGAAAGGAGGTTATGGGCTTAACTAGTAGTTATGAAGCCAGATAAAATATTATTTCAGAAAGTCAAAGGTATGTGATATTTCTTCTTACACAATGAAATTTTGACTTTTTTAAGTTGTTTCTGTTCGTATCTTACCTCCTAGACCCTACCTTCCCTCTCTACCTCCCCTTCCCTCGTCTAGCCTTCCACCTCTCCACGTTTCTTCTTCTCTTTTGTGATCAATACAATCTGGCTATCTCTTTCTTCTCTCCTTCCTCCCTCCTCTTATTTGGATTTCGTGAATGGTTTGGCCAAATTTCACATTGGTTTAAACTTCCTTCAAGGATATGTTATAAAAATTAAATGGAAGAATGGTAATATAAGAAGAAAGATTTGAGTTCACTGAGAAATGAGAATAGTAATCAATCTAGGCAATAGGTAAATGAAAGTAAGGATACAGGGTTTCTTCATACATGTGTATTGCCCAACTGTGGTGGAATAGCCAATTTTTTGGTGAAGTTGGAATTGGAGGTTGAGTTGTGGTGGAATTTCCACGAGCATAAGGGAGAGTTGAATGGTTACATTTTCAATAAGTTAACCTTAACCATTTTATCAGTGAAGTTGGTCGTCCTATTCTCCTGAAAACAAGTATGTGGTTCCAAGTTGTTGTAACTTTAAAAAAAAGTTAGTACAAATTATGATACTGCCATTCTCGTTATATGTAATACGCTTGAGGACATTTTTATCTTATTTTCCCTAAGGTGAGAATTGGCATCTAGAATTCGTCATTAGAAGGCAAAAGTCTTTGGATCTTGTTTGAAGATTACACAATCAACAAATTATACTGATTTGTCCCATTGTGAATTTAAAAACAAAAAAGGTTTTTCAAGCTGTCATTAGAAGGGAACTAGTTAGTAAGCACAGGTTGTCACGCAAACTCACACCTCATATATATTGCGGTCCTTCCATTTTAAGACTTGTACGATTTAATTTCGCTTTTTCAAACATTCACACTTGGTGACCTTCTTGTTAGACAAACTCTCTTTTTTTTTTGTTTTTTTTTGTCCTTCTATTCCTCCTCACATCTTTTTCATTCTCAATTGTCAAGTACAGATTTCGAACTCTGAACCTAACAAAGAAAATTACTTCCCTGACCACTGCAGACAAACCCATTCATGCATAATCATTATCCATAGAAAGATTTCTTACAAATTTGCATTCTACAAGTCGGATACCATTACTGACGACGGCACTAGCGTTTACAACATTTCTTTGAAATTAATCTTTTTCAGATCCAGCAAATAAGGTATAGCTGAAAATATTCCTAGCTTACCCAGGAATGAAAATGAAACTATTCTGTTAGGGTTCCTAATTTACTGCTCTTCTTCTTCTTCTTCTTCTTGATTTTTTTTTCTTATTTTTTTCCAGGAAGAACAATCTTTTTTGTTTCTAGACCATAGGCTTGATTTGTTTAAAACAAAAGATATGGTCGAATTAACAGGTCGGGTTTTTTAATTCAACGGCTGCGTATTCAGAGGCTAGTTTCTGTTTTCAACCATAGCTCCAGGACTAGCTACCTTATTTAAATTAATTTGCAGCATTCTGCTGGAGAAAAGAAGCATTTTTCCAGCAATTATGTAATACCTTGTTATCCATTTCTTTGTTTGGTTGATTTTATATCGATTATAAAAAATTATCCTGACTAACTTCGTCTGAAAATATGTAGCACAATTGAAGCAAGAATCTTGTAAAGTCATCTGTACGTTAAGAGGGATGGGTTTGGAATATAGTGAGCTATGGTGAAACAATATTAAGAGTTCAATTACGTGTTACAGCTTGGAATTTTGATTCACAAAGGACTGGATCTGGCTATATTTATTTGCATTATTACAATGAATTTTTAGTGGTTTTATATGTAGAAAAGGGATTCTGGTCTACTTACCTAGAGAAAAATTTAGTGACGTCTTAGAAAATGTTTTTCTTTTTTTGAGCGAATCCATTTTATCATGCCGTATCATGTAATATTCCACTTGACAATTATGAAGGAATTGGCTAGATTTCCATCCCATTCATTAACTAGGTCCGTTTGGAGTGCTATTTTTTGTATCTTTCGTAGAAAAATATGCTATAAAAATTTGATGTATAGACAATCGCCAGACAAAGAACTGGATGACCGATGGAATTCTTAGGCTCCATAACCGTTTCCAAACACTATGTTTGGAATTGTTGACCCTTGGGATGGTGAAGATGATGATGGATTCTGACTCTGACGGACAGTTACAGCCAAATGGTATCCCAACTTGACAGAATAAGCCCCGCTTCTTTTGAACTCCCATATCATGTGATCCTCTCTTCCATGTTGCAGAATGTAAATTGTAGAACTTTACAGGCTACCACGGTAGGAAAAAACAGTTTAATCAATGAATCCCTCCAGTGCCCGGTAGAATCAATCAAATCCGCAGCTGCCATGTTTAGCAATTGGGGTAAATTGTAAATGCCACGAAGAGGATTTGATATTCAAGAATCCAATTATCCTCTAACTTTATTTTTGCTCCATTTACTACTCGCCAATTAAGTCCCAACTTCAGTAAATCTCTTCCCCACAAGATGCTTCGCCATCCCCAAGTGGCATTAGTTGCACAACGCACACTTAAAAAATCTGTTTTCCTGCAATACTTAGATAAGAAGAAGCGGCTAAATAGAGTTTTCGGCTGAGAAAGTATTCGCCAAGCTGATTTAACAACTAAGGCTCTGTTCATTTCTTCTGTAGATAGCATTCCCAAACCCCCTCTAAATTTGGACATAGTTAGAATAGACCACGATTTCCAATGGATCCCACGTCCTTCAACATCCCCAGTCCAAATAAATCGTGCTATGTACTTGTCAATTGTTTTGGCTATAGTGCGCGGGATGCCAAACATTGGAAGGGTATACTATGATAGGGCACTTAGCACATGCTTTGCTAACACAAATAACTGAAAGATTGGATGACCTCCATTTCCCAATACGCCTGGAAATTCGTGATTTGAGTTTAGCAAACATCTGATATTTATTTTCAGAAAAATCAAGATTGAGCCCCAGGTATCTTCCCATTCCTACTACAAATTGAATATTAAATACTCTTGAGAAGGCCATTCTTATGTTAGTGGGAGTGTTTGGACTAACAGCGAAGTTTGACTTAGCAAAATTAATTTCCTGACCCGAAACATCTCGATATGTGTCTAGCGTATCTTTTAGCTTCCCAGCTGCCTCTATGGTACACATTTGAAAAATACCATAGTCTCATCCGAAAACATCAAGTGGGATAAAGAAGGGCCACCACGACAAACCCGTAAAAGTGAGTATGAATTCGTCTCTGCCAAAAATGTTAAGAGGAAGGACTGAGTTTGTTGATATAGGATGAATGAATAGAGGAATAACAGACAACCTTGACGGAGGACTCAAGTACGATAAATTGTAGGTGAAGATACCCCATTGATAATAATTGAGTAAGAGACCGAAGAGATGTATTGAGAAATGATCCTGATCCAAGAATCTAGAAAGCCCATTTTACGAAGTACAGCTATTAAGAATTGCCAAGAAACCTATCATAAGCTTTGCTGATATCGAGCTTTAAGGCAGCCAGATAGGTCTTCCCCTTCTTCGCCTTCCTTAAAAACTCTAGCACCTCATGTGCTATGAGCACATTGTCAGAAATTGAACTGCAAGGTGTTGACCCATCCCTCTACAGTTCCAACTTAGAATCCTCATAGAGCATTAGGCGATTGTTCTAAGACAACCACCTGCAAACCCATAGTAGAGAAATCAGAACGGTCCAGATTAAGATTGCCCAATATAGGGCCAGGTTCCCCAGACAGAGAATCTTGTCGTGGTGATGGCTGATAAATGGTCAACGAAGACCAACTGTTAGGCCAAAGATCCAACCGACGTCGTCGATAACAAGAGTTAGATTCTATGCCCACTTGAGCTTTCCTCTTCATGCCTCGAAGAGTTGACACTTTAGTCTGGTGACCGAGCATTTGTGAAATTGACATCAGGTGGAAATATAAAACCCAGAAGGAAGTAAGTTGCATGGTCCCTCTGGTGATGTTGCCTCTTACTAGATCCAAAGACTGATAGGTTCATGAAAGCTTCCTCAATGGTCCCCGTTGTGTTACTTTGTCGCTAGCCATGTTCCACACATGGATGTTCAAAGACTAGGCCGAATGAAGATATGTTTTCACAAAGCTCCATCACACGACCCTTGAAAAGAGAGAAGACCCACACTCTGTGTCTTTACAGAAAAGACTATCAAACAATCCGTTAGAGGCCTATCACTAAAAACCAAAACTTGAGATGTTAATGGATTTAGATAAGGGACTTGGCATTTAGAAATAGAAGTGCATGGGCCAGCTTGCATTATATCCTGAAATTTTTTGGAAGGCGGCCTAATATTTGGATCCATTAAGAAAGGAAGAAATTGAGAAGGCCCAAATTGAACCAAACTACCCACCGTTGCCCCTTCATTTAAAGCTACAGCTTCTGACTGCTGCTCTATGATTACACATTTACTAGTGGGAATACCCGTACTATGCACGGTGCTGACATTATTGGAAAAAAAATAAAATGATGAACAAATAAAGGTAAAAAAATTTTACCAATAAAATTAAAATATAATATCTGTTAACAATAATTTGAAATATAATAGAATGAATATATCATTTAAGAACCGTCTTTTTCGGTTGTATGTGAATTTTTTTTAACATTGTATGAAAATTGTTAACAAAAAAATATAATAGTTAATATAGAATAGCATCAATAGAATTTAATACAATTGTGTTGTAATCAAATGAAAAATACGCACCAATTGAATTGTTATTAGCACCCATAGTTAATGAAGTAATCCCTATATAAATATATTTTGGTACATGTAGTAATTGGTAATCTATAAAATAAAATAAATTGCTAATCTATAAAATTGCTAAGTTGTCTATAAATAGCATCAATAGAATGTAATACAATTGTATTGTAATCGAACAATTGTAATACAATTGTATTGTATTGTATCTATAGTTGATTTAGCAAGATAGTGCAGCCAAAAAGTGTGTATGTAAGATGAGTATGACGATATAAGAAGTTGTATATTTACCATGATCACGCAAAATCATTGGTGATGTGGATGCCCGGCGATCTTGAGGACAGTTAGATTTTTCATTTCTTTGATCAAGAAATAAAATATATATTAAATTAAAAATCAATAGTTTATGTATTTATTTTATGTGTAAATAGTGATACATTGTATGAGAACTGTTAACAAAAAAAATACAATAATTAATATAGAAATAGCATCAATAGAATTTAATAGAATTGCATTGTAATCAAATGAAAACAATTACAGAGAAGTGGTTACCTGAACTAAGGAATGCAGTTTTAAATGCTCAAAAGTGCCTTGACGATTGCACATATGTCAGGGGCTTGGTGAGTTTTTTGCTCCTCTTAAATCATTTTCTTTTTTCTAATTGTAATATATTATTTGCAGGTGTTAAGTAAGACTTGGCTCTAACCTTTCGTTTAAGTACTTTAAGCAATGAACTATTTATTCCATGAGTTGAATTGTGCTATTGCTAGATAGATGAATCATGTAGTTGTAATTGTCATTGTTGATAAAGAAAATAAAGGCTAGAATGCAACTTTGCCAAAAGGATTTCTGACGAAATTAAAAATTAATCCAATTTTAATAATGGGCGTATAGTGCCTTAGTTATTAGTAGTATCTGAATTGTTTTTCTCCAATTATAAACCATTTTTAATTATCAAAAAATCTTTTTTTATTTCATGCACGATCATTTTTGGAATAAAATTATGAAAATAACTATCGTAACACCTATTTTATGTGATAAATGTGCAATAAAAAATAATTAAAAAAATTTCAGTAATACAAACAAATAAATTTTTATAATATACAATTTATGTTAGAAATAGTAGAACCCTCAATCATGAACCTATACCATCCGCAATTATATAAGTAAGCAATACCTTTTTATCTTTGCTTTACATTGTAACAATAAGCAAACAACCGTTCATAGGATTTTGTAAAAAATTTTCAGAAATAATGGATGATCAGAAAATCAATGCAATATCATTCATGACAAAAAGCAAAGCAAAAGCACAACATACTTAAAAGACAGAGGGGACCGACCTGGAAAATTAAGCCGGCCGCAAGAAGGTTGATTTCTGCTGGAGTCTCTGCACATAATATCTTCCACTACTGCTCACAAAAGAAATAAAATCAATACATTTACAAAATCAATAGAGAACCCAAAACAAATAAGAAACTGAGAGAGAGGGTGAGGGAATTAACTCGATAAGTTAATTAAGTCGATCAGTAAAAGGGTTGGAAAAAAATTATAGACATATTATATTATTGAAAATAATCGAAAATAAAAAGAATTACAATATGGGGAATAATATTTAAAGAAAACACGGTACCGGAATTTTTAATTTGATGCGAACGACGTTTTAATCAGTGTAGCCTGGATTTTGTTCTTCGGATTTGATTTGAGATTTTTCTTTCGTCAGCGCAAACTTGTTGAAACTTTTCCAACTGGTGTGTGGAATCGTTGCGGTATATGTTTCGTTTTCTAAGCAAATATTTCCTCCTTTGCAATCTTGCGAGTTTGAAATCTAGTTGTTGTTGAAATGCTTGTAGGCGGGCATATTCCATGGTGAGGAAACTTTAGATGAGTTCCTTACAAATTTTGAGTGAAAAATTTTAATATATTAAATAATAGGATAACTTGAATTTGGGACAGCAGATAAGTGGGGCAAAGGTGAAAAAACACAATAATACTAATCAATAGCTAAATGAGCAGGGTCACTTATTGAAAGGTAATCACCGCCGGCTTCGTGACGTCTGCCGAAGGTTCAAGAAAAGAAGTATGATGCGTACTAAGAAGAGCACCGGAGTTCTGGTACCAGGATGGGATAGCTTTCAGGTATTTTCCTGTGTGTTATGTGAAGACGCAATTTTGAATTAAAAAAAATGGGTCATTAAGAGATAGTTGGAGTGGACTCTTAATTGGACTGGGAAACGGGAGAGAATTTGTAGGAGTGATTGTAGGATGAGTTAAGATAGTGGGATACTGGGAGTGAGATAGTGGGAATATTGATTGGTGATAAGGTGATAATGGGATAATGGGAGTGAGATAGTAGGAATATTGATTGGTGATAAGGTGGGTTATAACCCACTATTTTTTTATGTATTAAAATAAATACAAAAATCTAGAAAAAAGTATGACAAGTTTAGAAGGCATTGAGAGGGTTTCTGCTAAAAATCCCTTCCTGAATACATATAGATATAAATTACGATGAACTCTTTCGAAAAATTTTAACTACAAGAATCGAACTCCCTTCCTGATGCAACATTGCAACCATACTTTCGTTTACTCTTCGTTGTAAATGATGAAGAGATGTTTTCCTTCCCTTTTGTATGTTGAGTGGGAAGGTAACCAGTTTGTTTAATGCTCTGTGTCAGCCGTCAGGTCATTGAAAGGACGTAGCACGTCCTCTGTCTTCAGCCCACTGACGTGGCTTCCCAATTTCCACGCCTTCAATCACGTGGAAGAAAAGCATAATAATTTTTTTTATTCAAAAAGTCATTGACATTATGGTCACCATCAAACGTCAGATTTTATCGGAAGAAATCTACACAAATTCATTATCATTATCATTGATCTGTGATTGTGATAATTATTGCTATCAACCAAACGGGTGGTTATAGTTAATTTTGGTCTACTCATGTATTTAATCAGTCTAGTCATAAAGTAGGTTATCTTTTGGTCTTATTTTGATAAAAAAATTAATATTATGTATACTAATAATATATACACTATCACTATTAAATACATATTATATTATGCAAGATGTGAATTTTAAATTAAAAATTTTATTAATTGTCATATATTTAATGATAATAATATGTATATTATTAGTGTATAAAAGATTAATCCAAAATTAAAATATTATTTTTCAATAATGTTGAAAAAATGTATAAAATGTTATCTCAACCGTACATCATATATATATATATATATATATATATATATATATATATATATATAATAAAGTCGTATTTTCATTCTTATCCCTTCATATTTTCTCTTTTCTACGTGGTTTAACGAGACAGTAAATAGTTTCTTACGTGGCATGCTCCTTTTTTGTTTAGATATATATCAATTCTTATTTCCTATAAGAATTATTAATATTATATGATTCTTATTTCCTATCCAAAAAGGAACTGGAAAGTAATGCGATACAAATAAAAGAGACATAAATATCTCTATTAGATATATCTCAAAATTCATGCCAATAATTTGTGTACTGCATAGGAAACCGAAGTAAATAAGAATTGTTATCACTATAAGAAGTAGAAAAGTAACTAATTTCAAAAGGAACCATTAATAATAGAAGTCAATATCTGATGTTGGAAATAAAATTCTTAATAAATTTTATTATTAAGTGCGTTATCAAGACATAGTGCATAGCACGAAATTTATGGAAAAGAAAAAGTTAATTGAATCCAATTAACTATATATATTTGACCCCGTACGGTCAAATATAAATTCCTATTTGAGTACGGATTTGTAAATTCTTATAAACTTATTCGTTGTTAATCAAAACATGCAGGTTATACTCATTGTTAGGTTATAGGATTCACAATACATCTCTACCCAGATGGTGGGGAGTATTTAATGTGTGGACCCACACTATAGGAGTCCATGCACTTAAAAGACTCAATATAGTTGAGGTAATCTTTCAAGATAAGTAAAATTTGTCTTGAGAACACACTTTTATTTCCTATAAGATTTTTTAATATTATAGGATTTTTATTTCCTACCAAAAGTTACGTACTTTAAACAACTTAAATCAAGATAAACCTACTTTTAATGTTCTTATATTCTTATCAATTCTTATTCCTTATGCTTACACTACATATAGCCTCTAATATATTGATTTCAAGTATTAAATTCATGGTTAGGTAT